GATAACTTGGGCCAGTGAGAAAAGAATAACAGAAGTGAGGTTTTTGGAGAGATAAGGAAGCTCTTGTCTCTGCTGGCAAGCCACGATTACACTTCAAAAGGCCAAGAGTCACATACAGTAAGGGTCCCAAAGAAGTCCAAAAGTAAACCATCTTTCCTTTCCATTCTGGGTTCCTCACCTCCTCCTCTCCTAAGGTGAACAGCGATCCCAGCTGCTTCTGTAGAGCTGTAGATACCCTGTGCTGAGTGATCTGTTCACAGTGCAAGTGAGACTGCCACTCCTGCTAAAAACCTTTGGATGGGGACCCCAGTTTGTGTAATGGCTATGTCGCTGAACTCCCATGTGGTCAACCATGGTTCAAGTCCTGGACCTGGTGGCTTAAACTCACGCCAGGCACTTGTGCGTGCATGCCCAAGATCCGGCGAGGAGAATGGAGGAGGGACTGCAGTGTGGCCATCTCCCCGGGGGGTGTCTCTCTCTCTGCGGAGCGCATGTGCTATAGCAAAAACCTATCCAAAAAAAAATTGACCAGTAGGTGGCCTGCTGGTTAAGGTGCTAGACACTCCCACATGGCTGACCATGGTTCCTGGACCTGGTAGCTTTCTCTCTCTGGTCAAAAATTTGTTACTGGGCACATGTGCTCAACAAAGACAGAGACAGAGACAGTGGGAAAGTGAGAAAGTAATCCGCCAGAACTGGGATTTGAACCAGATTGGTCACGTGGGAATCCAGTGGCTTAACCACCTGTCTCTCTTTCTGGCAAGCACACATGCCCCATAGCAAAAACCTTTAAAAACAACAACTTTGGTTACAGGAAATGGAGACTAAAATACAAAGTCCTAGTAAACTCATTTGCTCCTCATAACCACCCTAAAGGCAGATATTATCTACACTGAAGCAAATTGAAGCAAGAACTCTTACACGACTGTGACTACGCAGTCACTTAATTTTATAATAGCTGAATCAATCGGTCAATCAAGGAATGGCCTGAAGCGAAGCGAGTGGAAGGCAGCTTTGGGGCGGCGTGGGCGAAGGGGCGGGGTCGGGCCGCACGGGCCAATAGGCGTGGGGCTACGGCTGGCGGGCTCGCTGGCCCCGCCCACTCCGCGCGCCGCCCGCTGGGAGTTGTGGTCCGCTCCCCTGGGGAGGTTCCTCGGCCCCAGCCCTTATTCCGCACGCCCCTCGTTCTGAAGCCTCTTGGTGTAGTCTTAGCTTCCCGGGCCCGGGGCTCTCGGGTCGGGTGTCCGGTGTCCCGACCCCCATCACGGAGTCAACTTGGTACCGTCGCGTCCCACCTTCACCTTCGGGACCGTCTCTCGCCCCCACCACGCCCCCCTGAAGTTGAA